GCCAACCAAAAGTCATGGTAACCTTGAATTGGAAACAGGACTCAGGTGAAATGAAATTAGTTTCAACCCTAGCGTTACTGCATGTTTTTCGCCCGTAACTGAAAAACAGATTTTTTTTTTTTTTTTTTTAACTTTTGAGATCTGCTAAAATAGAAGAAAATCGAGATCATTACATCCACCATTTCTCTGGAGTAAAGAGAAAACACTTGATTTTGAAAACAGCCCTCAGGGACTTGGTTTGTTCCTGGAAGCCGATGTAAGGGGGCTTCTATTTCGCCGGAACTAATTTGTATTTTTCTTTACTGGTCTAATGTTAATGTTATCCCATTATTCACCAAAAAAAAGAGAAAACACTTGAGAGTTAAGATCCCCTGTTCTTCTCATACATGTAAAATGCAGATTTAGCGTTGCACTACACATTATTTTATCAGAGAAGCCTTTTTCCACATGCTCTAGACTCCAAGATCTTGAATCAAAATTTCGCAAGGATAAGTGAAGCAGCAGTCAGCCATTGGATTAACTGCCTCCAGTTTAATGCTCTCAAACAGCAGATATGTACTTATTTCCCTTTGAGTTTACAGTAGGCATATAAGCATGATCCCAAAAACCCGAGAGATTGACCAACAACATTCAACTGGAAGGCAAAAACAAGGAAGTGGGTGAAATGAAAATGCCATCTCCACCTTGCAAACACAAAGGGTACTCCAAAAGTTGAAACTAAAAAGAAGCTTCTACTCACCAAATCAAATGGAAGCCCACCAAACAATATCCAGCCAAGTCCAATGGTAAAAAGATCCTACAAGGCACAATTGATCATCATTATGAGGGTGAGCTAAAAAATGCACAAATAATAGGTAAATTTATTGGATAACAGCAAGATATTTTGGAGGGCAAGTACTGAACTAAAAAAAAATGGAAACTTGTGTCTCAGACATGTACTTAAGCTTGAGCTTCTTACCTATTTACACCATTTAACCCCCTTTTTTTTTATCATATTCAGCAATAAAAGTTGATATTATTGTAATATAAAGAAATCAGTACCACTGCTCTCAATTGATTCTAACATATCATATCTGGATGGAACAGATATTCCACACCACAAATGAGGGGAAAAACTCAAGAAAGTGGAGAATGCAGCTCTATAGGACATCCACCAGCTTCCAACACCCTTATCCAAGTCCAAGCAACATAAAATGGGATGTTGAACTTGCTTAAAACAATTCAATGGATAAGGAGTGACAGATGCTCATCTTATCTGTAGGTCACACTACTAATTTAAATCCTTAACTGACAGCAAGAATGCGACTACGTAACTGCCTAGACATGCATGACCCTGAATTTCAGCTGAAACTTCCAAAAATTAATGAAGCTCAAAAACAGCCAGAACTGAAATTAAGCATGTTTGATTTGTGAACATCTGAGCAGTCAACAACCAACTAGACTGACTAAAACCATTGTTAATGCACCAAAAAAATGGATAAATATGCACCTTAGGGTAACCACACAGTATAGGTTTCACCTCTATGGGTTCCAAGGTAAGACAATGTTAGAAATAAGCATTCACACCTTCAAATTACCACATATTGTCTGCGTCAGTGCTGAATTGAGTATTGTATTCAGAAACACGAAATAATTTATTGCAAAAGCCATGGCACAAGAGAGAAGCATCACAACCTGCAAAATATTCACATTATCAAATTGAAAAAGAGCCATATGCTAATACTTTTCTAAGATAATGTTTTATACTCATCTCATGCATGATCACTACTCAGGTTATTTTGATCTAATTTCAATGGATGCATGAAATTACATTTTTATGTTTTTTGTAAGGGAGATAAGTTCAAGAAAGTGCAGTTGACTTCAGAGAGTTCAATAGCCATGGAAGCAGAGAAACCAAGTTTTCTACATTATATGAAAATCAATCAACAAAGAGAACAACAGAACTAAGCCACAAAAAAGACAAAAAAATGTGCGTCTTTCAGAGCATGAGCTGAAGGTTCTGACATAAGAACTTCAAGAGAGCTAAGATACGTGAGAAGGGAGTGATGAAGAATGTTTAGTGTTAACTTGCAGGAGAAAGAATGTGAATTTGTCTAGTTAAAGGTTATTGGAATGGCATAAAGTCAACAATGCATATAACAGCATATCTTAATGAGATGCTGCAACTAAAGATAATGCATCATTGGAAATAGCTAGAGAGGACCATTCTTTCTTCCAAAACTAACTAGTTGGACTGAACAATGAGATTAATACTGATGGTAAAGGCAATAAAGCTGAAGATCTAGAGGCACTTGCAGATTTCATGACATTGTCTGGTAAAGAATACTTGACTTTTTCTTTTTTTCTCATCAAAGAAATTAATTATCTCATGATGAAGAAGCACCTGAAATCCTGCAGAGTATAGATAAGGGAAGTTCATTGTTAGTTTCAGGTCGCCACTCAGTGATGTCCAGAGGAACAAGATTGGTGCACATATAATTCCTATAAATATCCAGCAAAAGTTTCATGAGAGTTCAGATAAGCCCAATTTATGAAGAGATGGATGTCAAGGTTAAAACATGCTATGCTATTATCTTATCTTACCTTGTTTTCAGCCAAAAAAAAAAAAAAATTATCGTATCTTACCATTGCACCACATGAGGCCAAAGCTATTGAGGCCACTGGATTTACCTGAAACAAATGATCATGTGCATTAAAATAGAAGAAACAAAAAGGGAAAAACCTTTTGTATGAGATAAAGAAGAAGAGACTAAAATGAGATAATACCAACACGAGTGATAGAAGCAAGATATGTTGCTGTGCAGATGTTTGCTATGAAAACAATGGAATAGCCATAGGCATCAAATGACAAATCCCGAGCTCCAGCAATAAATGCACCAAAAATAATTATCAACACACTGATGAAATCCTTGGATCAATCAATTAAGAAAAGATATAGCCAGATCATTAAGAATTAGTCTATAAAAGAACAATTTATAAAATTGCAAAAACATGAACATTGTGGTTGTGCAAAGGAAGCAAAACACTTTGCATTCCATTTTGTTTATGCTACTAGTGTATCATGTGTGCACAAGAGAGTTATTTTTCTTTTGACCAAATAATTATAACCATATAAGTTTATATATGTGCAACAATTGAAGTTCAAAATAGCAAGTAAAGCAATCAACAAGTTCTTTCATTGATGGGATGAATGTTATTCTTAATTTATAATATTATGCAGAACACTAAGAAACATAGTAGCAGGTAAAGTAAATAGCATACACACACAAAGACAAGAACATAGCAAAAATTTTTGATAACCATATTCCTACTTTGAGAATGATCAAGAGAAAACTACAAATGGCCAAGGAAAAAAAAATAGACAATTATATTAGAAAATTAATGGTAGTTTAAAAAAGCTTCA